CATAAGTTAACATGAACATAGCTTCCAATGTTTTATGGAACCAAGCATGGTCATTTACACTAAATAAATATGGACAACTTGGCCATCTCATTTCCTGTCAGTATTAAGGACTTTATCAAGCTACCATGGACTTGATCAAGCAATACATATTATAAGACATTTACAGTGGACTGTCCTGTACTATTTGAACTTATAAAGATCTGCCTGAGACTTCCGCCAAGATGGAGGCGCAGGTGGAAGCACTGCACCTTCTCACACAACCAAGTTTAAAAACAACAAAGTTTTAGCAACAAAAACGCAGCCAAACCACAGAAAATTGAATTATACGGAAGTCTGACAACAACAAACCCTTCAGCCAAACCAGTAAGAGGGGCAGAGCCAGCAGCAGAACTGGGTCGGGCAGGAAAGATCCATTGGACTGACCTGGGAGCGTGACCCAGGTGCACCAACAGCTGTGGGCGGATCCCAGGTGTGGAGAAGCGGGCGGATCCACTGAGGGCTGATTGTGGTCACACATTCACGTGCAGATAAACCAGTGGGGGAGCACATGGTGAGACAGACTGTGCAGGCCCCAGTGGCAGGAAGCGGCAGAGGGGACTGCCATTGTCCCTCTCTGATCCCGCCCCCACATACAGCATCACAAACCAGCGACCTGGGTGGCCCCACCCTGGTGAACAACTAAGGCTCTGCTCCTCATACATAACAGGCACAAACATAAAAACATGGATCAAGAACAACTCAGAGCCCCAGAGCCGATAAATCTAAGCAATGAAGAAATAGCCAAACTTTCAGATGCATAGTTCAAAGCACTGGTGATCGGGATGCTCACAGAACTGGTTGATTTTAGTCACAAATTAGAGGAACATATGAAGGCTAAACTAGTTGAAATGAATGGAAATGCACAGGGAAACAATAGTGATGGAAAGAAAACTGGGACTAAAATCAATGGAGTGGGTGGACCAGAAGGAAGGAAGAACAACCAAACAGAAAAGAATGAAGAAACCATGAATTCAAAAAAATGAGAGGCTTAGGTTCCAAACCTCAAGGACATCTTTAAACGTTCCAACATCTGAATTACAGGGGTACCAGAAGGGGAAGAGGAAGAGCAATGAATGGAAAACTTATTTAAACAAATAATAAAGGAGAACTTCCCCAATCTGGCAAAGGAAATAGGCTTCCAGGAAGTCCAGGAAGTCCAGGAAGCTTAGAGAGTTCCAAAGAAGGTGGACCCAAGGAGGAACACACCAAGGCACATCATAATTACATTACCCAAGATTAAAATGAACGAGAGAATTCTAGAAGCAGCAAGAGATAAGGGGACAGCCACCTACAAAGGAGTTCTCATCAGACTGTCAGCTGATTTCTCAAAAGAGACCTTACAGGCAAGAAGAGGCTGGAAAGAAGTATTCCAAGTCATGAAATCCAAAGACCTACATCCAAGATTATTCTATCCAGCAAAGCTTTCATTTAGAATGGAAGGGCAGATAAAATGCTTCTCATAAGGTCAAGTTCAAAGAGTTCACCATCACCAAGCCCTTATTATATGAAATGTTAAAGGGACTTCTCTAAGAAAAAGGAGTTAAAAAATATGAACAGTGAAAGGACAGCAAACTCACAGTTATTAACAACCACACCTAAAACAAAAGCAAACTAAGAGGATAGCTAGATCAGGAGCACAACCATAGAAATGAAGATCACATGGAGGGTTAGCAACAGGGGAGTGGGAGAAGGAGAAGGGGGGAGAAGGTACAGAAAATAAGTAGCATAGATGGTAGGTAGAAAACAGATAGGGGGAGGGCAAGAATAGTATGGGAAATATAAAATCTAAAGAACTTGAGACACATGGTCATAAACTAAAGGGGGGGAATGGTAGGGGAAGGGTGTGCAGGGTGGAGGGGAATGAAGGGGGGAAATAGAACAACTGTAATGGCATAATTAATAAAATATATTTAAAAAAATTTTTTAAAAGCTGCCTGAAGTCAATAAATACTGAATAATTTTATAACAGAAGAATTAAGTACTATTTATGCTTTCTCCTCAGTTTTCTAATGAATTGTCATAACAAAATATTTTTAAAGAAAAAAAACCTGTAAATTATGCCAAATCCTTCTTTAAGAAAACATTGACAATTCTGTGTTCTCAAGGACAAATTTTTCAAAGTACCAGTGCCCACAGTGATGACAGTATTGCAATGAAATGTACATAATTTAGGCAGCCAATGTGACCCCTTCGTTTATGCTTTATTCTAACTTTATTTCTTCGTACTACTCATTTTGAAATTTATTTTTTACTCACATGCTTGGAGCATCTCAAAAGCATAAACTGAATATATCTGTTTGCTTAGCAGCTTTAAGATATTCTCTTTTATGACTAAGTGGCAGGTGCTGTTCAGTTTATTTTCATGCACGTAAACTAAGCCCTTGAACTTGGAGTGAGGAAAAGCATTCGGCTAAAAGTTCAGAAAGGAAGGAACTACACAACAGCTTCCTTCAGAACAGCCCGGTTTTTCAGCTTCCTGTATGAAAATAATATTGTACTTTTATAGGAATTTCTAAGAAGCAATGAAGCGTTAGACAGTTAAGCTTCAAGTCCTTTAAGAAGCAAACAATTTCTTCCAATAATTTTGATATTTAAGTCAAGCCAAGAACGGAAAAAGAAATAAAATAGAAATATGGTACAAGTTTAAAGTAGATTATGCAATTTTCAGATTATCATAAGTTACATTTTCTTCTAGTAAATGGCAGACATTAACACTTCCAGCTTTAAAAGTCCCCAATATCAAGTTACTGTATGTGGTAGAGATGATGAAGGAAAGATTTTTCTCTGTGTGGTTGCTGCTATTGTTGTTATACTATTTTGATTAAAACACAAGTATGCCAAGTTTATTATTAAATGCAGCTTCTTAAACTCTCAGAGGTAACTGACCTTCTCTTTAAAAATAAAAATAAAATGCATGCAGAATGTCAATTCCAGGGGAGAGAGAAGTAACCTCCTCAGAGTACAGGCTTTGAATGTCCTCTCAAACTTCTATGAAGTCACCGAGTGACCCAGCAGGCTGCTTCCACGTCTCTCTCTCACATAACAGATTTCAACCACTAATGTGTGTATGGCCAGCAAGGTGATTATGCCGTCCATCAGCTCTAAGTTCTCTCCATGTGTAATTCTGTAGGTCAGCACTGTGCATTTAGAAATTTCCTATCAAGGGTCATTAAATGAAATAAGCTTATGATGAAATTCAACCCATCCTCTTTACTGAATGCTAACATTTCATCTTATTCAAATATTCAAGATTCAGGTTTGTTAGAAAACTCCAATCACACTTGGACTATTTAGGAAAGAGCAATACAGACATGGGAAACTACCACTATGGAAGCTACAGTCTCCTGGGTGTTCTTTAACCCGCCCCAGTCCTACCCCTGCACAGCATCCAGCACTGGGGCCAGTAGCTGTTGCAAATCCAGGGCTCAGGGAAGCATCTGGCCCTGGCCTACAAGGCCAAAGTCAGGTGGACAGCAGCTCCATCCACTGTAAGTCCCAAACCTGGAAGCACTGCAGTGCACTGCTATAAGCTAGACCCTGTGAAGTAAAAGACTACCCAGAGGAGAAGCAATGGTAGGAACAGAAGGTGGAGGTGGCTGATGTCTGGAACGAGAACTGCATGCTTCCTGCTCCTGCTTGAAATCAGAAACTCAGAGAAGACAGTAACAAAGCGTACCTTCTGGAGTTCCCAACAACTCTTGCTGCGACCTGTCCCTGGTAGACCTTGTACCGTACTGTTACCCAACCTTCTGCACCCTGATTTCAGCACTGCCAACCCAGCATGTACTACATTTATGTTTCTCTTTTCATTGGCCTGTAAAATTTCATTGAAGTAGAGGAGTTTATCTTTTCCTCTTTGTATCTATCCCTAGTTTTTAGAATAAATTGGCACAAGGCAATCATCCACTATTTGCCCCTGAACTTTTTTTTGCAGAGTTGTTAGTGAGAAAAATAAAGCCTGTTTTTTAGTATGTTCACACATACCCCCAACTATGCCCAACCCCTATCCTATGACTAGTGTTCATTCCTTGTATCTGATAAAAATTCACTCTCAGGAAAGGATATAATAAAGCTGTTCATACTAAAAGGAAAAAGATACGTGGTTGACCTCTCTTAGTGGCCCTGCAAAATGAAGGAATTCCAATTATCAAGATGTGAATGGGAGAGAGATTCCAGGCAGCAGCCCTGGAATCACACCACAGGGGCAACTGCTTCCCTCTTATACTGGGCAGATTCATCACAGAAAAAGGTTTTTGTCTATTTTTTTCTGTCTCCAACTCCTTTGGCTCTGCCTGACTGCTATCTCTACTCTCTGTCCTCTCTCTGGTAGCCTATGCCTACGCTCCCTTGAAAACAGCAACGGGGCCACACGAGCAGCTACACTACTCTAATTAAAATGCTGAACAGTTACACAGAAAGCCATATAGTACAGTTCAGTGCACATTTTATTTCATATTTTCCCGTTTTCATTCTCAACTATGTTGCAAGTTGCCTAAAGATAGGAACTACATATACTTCACACTGAGTCTTAGCCCAATGCTGAGCACATAGTAGGTAGGAATTCAATGGGGTACTGCAAATAAATTTTGTAATCCAGCAAGACAGAATATGTTTTACATAATAACATAACTGTTACAAAAGCATTCAAAACTGTCAGCAAGCTAGAATGAACAATAGTAATACTGATGCTGTTAAGAAATTCACATTTATTTAGAGTTCATGGTCAAACTTTGACTTACGCCCTTCACAGACAGTCTCTCATTTAATCTTTATGAGGTTTGGAGAGATTAAATACCTCCCAGTCACTCTGTCAAGTGGGGCAGGGTGATTCCAGGGTCTACATTCAACCAGGTTATGAATTTAAAAACTTGAGATTTGCCCTGTCTGGTGTAGCTCAGTGACTTGAGCGTGGGCCTGAAAACCAAAGGGTCGCTGGTTCAATTCCCAGTCAGGGCACATACCTGGGTTGTGGACCAGGTCCCCAGTTGGGGACACATGAGGGGCAACCACACACTGATGTTTTTCTCCCTCTCTTTCTTCTTCCCTTCCCCTCTCTAAAAAATAAATAAATAAAATATTAAAAAATAATAAAATAAAAAATGAAAACAAAAATTTGCGATCACCCAAATATTTCCTAACATTATGGCTAAGCAGATATATAGTGATATAAAAGAACTGCTTTAAAATAACCTCACCTCTTAGCCTCTACCCATGCAGTTTCCTTTGTGGGAACATCATCCCATCTCCCTATCAGGCAAAATCTACACGTCCTTCAAACCACCTTGAGCATTTCTTCTGCATCACCTTCCACTGCACCTCGCACACATTTGCACTGGACCAACAGTCCTGCTCTAATCCATGTGTCTGTTTATTATTTGCCCATGAGAATCAGAGCTCCTAGAGTTGAGAACCTAGACTTTTAATGTGCACATAGCTTTCTAACACAGTACCTACCATACAGCAAGTACAAGGTCAATATTTTTTTCTTGAAATAGTTGTAGGAGTAGCATTAAGATTTTTAGTTTGCAACATCTATTTGTCACAGCAGATCTGTATCAAGAACTACATGGTAACTTTCAACTCAATAATTTAAATTTGTTCCCATAGCAACTAGACAAAATGCTTCTTATAAGACTGAGGAAGGCAAACTAAAACTTAAGGTTCAACCCACTGAAATACTTCACAATCATATGCTTTTGTTCTTAGTATGAAGAGACAGAATGACAGCATTTAACTTTCTGTAACTTCCTCTCTTTTTAAGAACATTCTATCTAATTTTATCACTAACAATATACCAAAACTTACTTTTTCAAACATAGCTATAATTTTCATTAATAAAAGGACAGCATCTTATTTCTCCACAAATCCAAAATGTCTGTAAGAGAACAATACACCTGATCAAGCCACAGCTATATTTCAGACATTGACAGACCAAAAGACATTTTTAAAGTAAACGTCACTCCTTTCTGACCACTGACCTTTTATGAAAAATGTCACGGACCATTCTGTGAAAGAGAGAGTACAGGAGACCTCTCTGGGCTCATTTAAAACATGGCCTAAGTTAGGCAAAGGGGATGCTGTAAGACAATGCCTTCAGACCTCTTCCAGCTAATTTTAACTTGAAGGAAAGAAAAAAATGGGCTCATTTTTTCATTCTTAATTAGGCTGCTTACTTTCTGAAAGTTTGCTAATTTCTATGATAGCAAATTTCAATTTCTGGGCATTTGTTCACATCTTTCTTTAAAAAAAAAAAAAAAGAAGGAAATAAGGGTCTCCTTTCTTCCATCCACTCCCTCTACCCCTAACTATCAGACCAACGAAAGCACTGGTGGAACCTAGAGAGGCCTAAGTTTTAATAAGGATAACGAAGTAGAAATTTAAGTATGCCTCTGCTCAAAGAAGGCTAACTACACTCAGGAATAATTTCTTCAGCATAGAAGCCAACAAAACACAGATGGTGATCACATATCCTACCTAAGAAAGCTACCCAGTGAAAAAGGACTGGGGTGTCTAAGTCTCTGAGTTAATTAAATCCTAAAAGAAAAGATCTCGTCTCAAATTTACTGAGTCTCTCAAAACTTACATTTTAAAAACCTGCCTTTCTCAAAATTTACTCCTGAAAATAATTAATATTATTTATAGTACTCATCAAAAAAATTCTCATTTTTGGCTTTGATCTTTTGTGACAAATGAAAACATTTAAAAACATTTAAAGAAAAACATTTAAATAATACTGAGGCTTACTGATATGTTTAAAAGCTAAGATTCAGCTAGATCAGTAAACTAAGAGAACTCCCCATGTTATCCCGCTGAGTGCAAAATATCAGACATCAATCTATTTATCGAGCCTCGCTTATCACACTCACTTATCAGCATCTCTGATGTTTCTGAGCAGCATCTGATGAACATGAATTTCAAGAATAAATTAGGAGAATATCAGAAAAGTCTCTATCAGAAACTCTAAGAAATGATGGAAAGGGAAAGAATGAGGAGATATGCTCAGCCAGACACAAATTAGGCCTTTATAGGTTCCTTCTTATCTGAATAAATAGGACAATGTTCAGTCTTGCCAGTTAAAAGTTTGGTGCCGGACCTCACACCTAAACTCTCTCTTTCCTCTACACCACAAGTATAGTATATTTCTACAAATAAATGTCAAAATTAAGGGTTGTTTTTTTTTTCATTCTGGTTCAAGAGCCTCCTTTGAGAAGACACTGTCAACCATTAACTAGGTAGATTATATGTTACTACAGGTCACATTATCCTTCAGTTTCATTATTTTTTTCTTCCAATATTAGCCAATGATAAATCATGGTTCCCACGCCTCAACATCCAGAGACCAGGCACAAATCTGTAGGGAAGTTAACTATTCACTTGATTGAGTACAGCAGAGCTATAATTCTCTATATTATTATTCCATAGTGCAGAAAAGGGAAGGGCCAGCTGCCTCTTTGAAAGTACTGTTCTTTCCATTTTGATAATTTCCAATTTAACACCTAAAACTGCAGATTTGCTGGACTGGCTACGTGAAGGCATTAAAAGTAGACTGTATCTGCAGCCAACTGGTCTGTGTGCTTAAATGCAAAAATATACTGCAACATTGCAAGACTGCACTGTGATCCTACCAGTGGAAACAGGAATCATCCTGGGTTCCTCAAAGGTCCCTCGATCTAACAAGCAATACCACAAAGGGTGTCAATGACACTAAGAAAACTCCTGAGGTCTTTCTGGTAGCTCAAGCATTTCCTTAGTGAAAAAACAAAACAAAATAAAACAAAACAAAACAAGAGGCTGAAATATGGAAAAAGAAATATCTTTGTTAGATAAACAGTGTATTCTTATTCTTTGAACAGAATGCATCAAACTCAAGGCTTCCTACACAATTTCCTTGAGCACCTTTGATCAGGAGTTCTGCTGGGAGGTGGGAGATGGAGATTAGTAAAATCTGACTTCAAGATTTGTTAGGAAGAAAGATGAGAAAACAGATGATCACAACATAGTGTGGTAAAGGATACTAGATGACAGTAAGGTGTTATGGGAGCATTAGGGGTTAGAAGAGGATGGGGACTTTAACATAACTGGGCAAGAGGATCAGCAAAGGGACCCCCAGAGAAAATAAAGAATGCAGCTAAATCTTAAGAATAAAATGGAAAGGATAGGAAGGTGAGGAGGGGGGCAGGGAGCAATCCAAGCAGAGGGAGGTGATATGCAAATGATCTACTTCATGACTTTTTATCACTCAACATTCTCCACCTCACTATCCTCCTTTAACCCCAAAGCTAAAGCAACAGGAAATGCACACAGTCCAAAGTACCTATCTTACACTGTGAGACTATTATACAAAATTCAAGACTGGGGACGTGAGAGAAATCAACATTCGTGTGAGTACATATTTGTTGTTTGCTGGACACCTTATTACAAAGTTTGAGGCCAAACAAAACTGAAAAGTAAACCGGTTTAAAAGCATCTATACAGCATAGAAATTCAGTTGCATTTGTTCAATTAGAAAAAAAACTTTTGTATAATTCTAAAAGTAGATGGAGTGGATGAGGTGAAATCATGTTAGGAAACAAAAACTCTCAATTAAGTAGCTTCTTATCAGCACAGATGACCGTTAATTATTTCCTTGAGTCCTTGAGAAGAGGAAAATGATTCCCTACTCAAAATAGTATTAGACGTTTACTGAGTGATAGATAGCTCACACGTTAGCTCACAAGCAGAAGAAAAGTACCATTATCATCTCCATTTTACAAATGAAAGAGCTGAGGCTAAGTTCATGGTTATATGAAGTACAGAGGAGAGAGACAGGGTTAGAATGCAGGTTTCCTGACTCAACAGTGTGGGTTCTGGTCCTGGCACTATCAAAAAACTGTCTGCTTAATTCTATTGCTGTTTCTACTCTACAAAATTAAGAACTTGAAAATTTTATAATGTTAAGAAGCAAACTGTTAAAGGAGTAGCTTGCTCTTTCAATCACAATTTTTTACATAAAGGATCAGGTTCATGTTCTTTACTATTATTATTAAGAAACTAAAATAATGCTCATAACTCCTGGCCCTCAGGGCCATTTGAAAATAACTCTTCTATTTTTTCCCTTTTGTTTCTTCTCTACAATTGACCACACTGGTACATCCCAGCAAACAGCTGTCCTATATTTTCAAAATCCCTAAATATAGTACCTTCGTTCAGACTGGAAAGAAACTCAACATTCTAAATGGATGCTGAGATGTTTACCGGTTTCACTTCATTTGTAAAATAATTACAGAATTAAGCCTTCTTAATAATAAAAAGTACTTTTAAAGAAGTTATACGTGTTAAGCAAGAAACAGTTTTTGTTAAATACTCATTACTAAATGAGACTTTTTTAACTTTGAAGTGAAATACTGATGTAAATCCCCCACATTCCACCCCCAGATTTTCCTCCCATTCAACATAATCCTGTTGGCAACACCTGGCACCACTGTTACAGCTACAGTTACCATGACCACTGCAAACAGTCTTAATAGAAATAAAGAGCAGGTTTGGCAATTAAACCCAAGGGAACATTAGCTGTATGCAAAATTACTCTTGGAATATTCTAACACATTCTTCAGAATGGAGCAACCAAGAGAGACATCTGCAGCCAGTGCAAAATAAACTTTTAAGATCTAATACTTGAACTTGGTCTCACAGATTTATCCTAGACTTCAACAAAATAAGACCCCTCAGACATCAACTTCTCCAAGGAGGCCCCCTTACTCTGCTCTTTATAGGCTAAGCCCCCTTCTTATTCAAGTTGCACCCTTCCTTGCCTTTACCACAGCACTGATCACACTGTAAGAACAAGAGTATGAGGCTGTGCATTTTAACTGTCTCTTTTAACTTCTGAGCCTCAGTATCCTCATGTCTTGAGGAAAAAATAATTTAAATCAAAACCTTAAAAAACTCATACTGTAAAAAAATTTTTTAACAGCAAAAGAAAAATATTATTAAAATTATGCACAATACAATAAGCAGAAGAAAAGAAATAATGGAGATCAGAGCAGAAAATGAATAAAACAAAGAAAGAAAGAAA